TTAAACTTCCTAAACCCTAAACCCCAAGCTTGCGGCTCAGTTCAGTATCCAAAGAACGCCCCGGGGCAGCTCACTCTCTCTCTCTCGCTCTCGCTCTCTCTCTCTCTCTCTCTCTCTCTCTCTCTCTCTCTCTCTGTGTCCCTATATATATGTACACATGTAGAATATGTATATGTATATGTATATGTATATATGTATGTATCTGTATCTAGCTTTTACTTATTTTTTATGGTTCAGATAGAGGTTCATCTGTTCCTTTACTTGTTTCCGGCTGTTAAGGGTACGCAATCTAGTATGTGTCATTTGGCTACCCCGAACCCCAAAGTACCACAACTGCCATGTGACAATCCTTATTCTCGGGCTTGGTGTAGCCAACTAGCCCAAACCCTAAACCCTAAACCCCACAAATCTTGTAAGTCCTGTAGAACCCTATACACCCTGAGCCCTGTAAACCCTAACACTATCAAACCCTAAACCCTAAACCCTAAATAGACACTCAGTCCTTTCGGCCCGCTTAGGGCCCCCAAACCCAATAAACCCTACGCCCTATCTTGGTAGCCCAGTGGTACCATTTTCCCTTTGTTTGGTTCCAGGTTCCCCTATAAAGTAACCAATCTCAAAAAGGGCGCTCTTATTACAACATGGTTGCTGGGCGATCAGGCTATACACCCTATAACCCAGAATACCCTCACCCTAAACCCTAAACCCTAAACCCTAAAAAACCCGGAACCCCATGTTCCAACAAAACTGTTCCTCCAGGCGGAGCCAAGCTTCCGCTGAGTGAGGAGGCCTATGGCAAAGCGGTCTTGGTGAGGTCTTGTAGGGTTTAGAGGGTTTTGAGGGTTTCGGGTTTAGGGTTCAGGGGGTTAGGGGTAGTTTAGGGTTTAGAGGGTTTGCATTTTTGGGATTAGGGGTGGTTTAGGGTCTAGTGGGTTCGGTCATCTGCTGGCAAATTGTGTGAGACATGTTTCCTGAGATACAGCAGTTTAGGGCTTAGCTTAGGGCTTGCAAGGTTTTAATGTTACGGTTTTGGGCGGTCGTGGAGTTGTGGTCCTGCTGCTTTGGGAAGTAGCACTGAGTAGTCAAGGCGGAGTTTATGAGTTCGGGTCATGGGGCTGATGTTTAGGTTTTCGCGAAGTAGGTAACCCTAAACCCTAAACCCCAAACCCTAAACCTTGCTCCGCGTGGATCAGTACAACTTTAGGTGATGCCACTGTGAGAACTTCTTCTCGGATAACGTCAAGTGTGAATCTTCGTTCGACTTGTGAGTGGGGAGCTCTTTCAGTTTAGTGAGCGCCTCGTAAGGGGTGGATGGAGGCAATGTGCAAAAGTCCGACTCACTTTCAAAAAAAAAAACCTAAACCCTAAACCCTCACTCAAGTCCATCCCGTGCAGTCCAGGCTTTGTTCACCGTTGTCCGCGACCGAAAGCGTGCGTTGAAAGCCAAGTGGGAGGCACGAGCTGCAGATGCGTGTGGCAAGGGACTCAAAGAAGGGGCCCTTGTAAGGGACCTTAGGGGTTATTTAGGTATTACTCAGCTATATAGGGACTATATAAGGTGTATATACGGGTTATATATGGGTTCGAGTGTAGCAAGGGACTAAAAGAAGGGACCCTTGTAAGGGACCCTAGGGGTTATTTAGGGGTTACTTAGGTACATTGGGGCAAAAGGAGGGACCCTTATAAGGGACCTTGGGGGTTATTCAAGTTTTTTTTCGTTATATAGGGACTATATAAGGTATATATAGGGGTTATATGTGGGTTATCTAGGGGAATAAGATTAAGGGTCCCTTGTGGGGGTCACCCCCTTCTACCCCTTAAGTGTGGCAAATTCCTCTTAGGGTAGTTCCATGGGCTCTGTTTATAGACAAATTAAGGGCCCATACATCAGAGCCCTTGAAAGGAGGCAAGGGACCATATTAAGGGCTACCCTTAGAGTTCCAAAAGGTCCATTTGCGGACCTTGGGGGTTATTTGGGGGGGTTATTTAGGTACTTAGGGACTCTATAAGGTATATATAGGGGGTTATATATGGGTTTTATAGGGGAGCAAGATTAAGGGTCCCTTCTAGTGGTCCCTCCTTGTACCCCTTAAGTGTAGCAAGTCCTTTCAGGGTCCATGTGCCTATGTTGCATATACTCGTGCCTTAAAGGGGTTCCTATATCGTAGCTTTAGGGCCCAAGTACATATTAGACAGGTACATAGGTACATGGACGTTTAGGGGTCGTGGGTTAAGGATGGTGGTTATTTAGGGCTTTAGCACTGGGTGGCTGAAGATGCCGCAGGCGCATCGAGGGTTTAGGGTTTAGGGTTTAGAGTTTTGGGTTTAAGGTGTAGGGTGTAGGGTGTAGGGTGTAGGGTGTAGGGAGTACGCCCGGATCCTGAACCCTCCAGAGACGGTCTGCTCGGCATAGTTTGCCGCAGCTTCATTTTCATTCTGCGAGATGAAGCACCCTAAACCCTAGACCCTAAGCCCTAACTCCTAAGCCCTAGACCCTAAGCCCCAAACCCTAAACCCTAAACCCTACGATGGCGCAGGAGCGGGCTTTCGGAGATGAGTCAGTTCGCCGCACCTACTGGAAGGACGCATGGGTTTAGGGTTTAGGGTTCAGGGTGGCCAGGGTTCCGGTGCTACGTGCGCACTTGACATGGGTATACTGAGAAATCGAGGTGCTTTCCGAAGGGTTCACACAAGAGAGAGGAGACTGGCAGTCTGTTCTCGGGTCTCACAGATACCTCCGGTCGGCCCTTGGGATATCGAAACTTTTTGGTTTAAGAGGATTCTATTTGGAATATTTGTTCAGAGGGGCCATCCTAGATTCCGGGTCTCTTTAGGGTTTAGGGTTGAGGGTTGAGGGTTGAGGGTTGCGGGTTGAGTTTGGGGCCCTTGAGTCTTGGGGCCCTTGAGTCGATGTGTCTAGAGTGGTTTTGCCGGCCGGGTACACTCTTCTTGGTGCAGGTGGTGGGCGTGCGTGGTAGTCCGTAAACCCTGAACCCTACACCCTACACCCTAAACCCTAAACCCTAAACCCTAAACCCTAAACCCTAAACCCTAAACCCTAAACCCTAAACCCTAAACCCTAAACCCTGAACCCTACACACCTTGTGTTCAGAGAAGCAAGCCTGCCTCCTTGCCTGGTTGGGGCTCCTTCCGGATTGTCTTTTGCGTCGTGGCCTCGCTGTCTGGGTGGGCGATTTGTTTGCATGTCTGGCCTTTTTGGGTGTAAGGGTACTTAATTTGGGAATATGGTTCAGAGGGAATATCTGCCCTTATTGGGTGTCAGAATACCTAGTTTGGGAATGTAGTTCAGATGGTTTGTCTGCCCTTATTGGGTGTGAGAATGCCTAATTTGGGAATATGGTTCATAGGGTTTATCTGCCCTTATTATGTGTAAAAAAGGCCGACCTAGTTGTTTCTCAGTTTTTGCCGCCAACTGGGATTACCTATCCTACGTGCCTTTTCATTTAGGGCACTCAAAACGGAGCCATGACCTGGCGAACTGGTCGTTTTGTCCGTGGCTGACACCACCACAGGCCTCCTCTTTGGGTCCCCCCTGTGTTACCATGATTCCGGCTCAGGCATGTGGACCACAAACCCTTTTGGGGTTCACTTGCTTTCAAGGGAGGTGTCTCCCTATTGTGATAGGCCGCAGCTGCCCTGGTCAATCAGCAGGTCGGGCTTTAGGGTTTGGGCTTTGGGTGGTTGTCAAAATTCTGATCCTTCTTGGGGCACCCTAAATATGAGGTGCCATATTACAATAGGGACCCCAAAAAGGGACCATACTGTTGACAACCGCACATTGATGGGACTTACAGTGCATTTTAATGCGTTCTCCGACGCAGGAGCTGAAAACATCCCTCGCCAGGGAGGCGGGGCCTGTTCTTGTGTAGATGCTTTGATGCGGTTCCCTCGGCCCTGCTTTTATCCCCTGCCCCCCACCTTCTCCTACAGTTTCTGAGATGCTCGGTCGTAGACTTATTCGTTCGTTTTTGGCTCAGGATTTTTCCGAAACCCTTTCCAGGCCGCAAAATGTGCACCCTTTATTGGGTACAGTAGGACATTGGATGTGAATCTCAATGACACGGGGTCTGTTGGGTCTCCACTCTAGCCGATTCCGAAAGCGCACGCTAGGATACCGAAAAGGCCCGTCAGGTAGAATCGTCCCTCCCCCCTAAACCCTAAACCCTACACCCTACACCCTAAACCCGAAACCCTCCCCACCCCATTTCTTCTGGTGTGCTCTGCAGCATGTGGTGGTTTCCGAAACTAGGGGTTTAGGGTTTTGGGTTTAGGGGTACCTTAATTATTGGTGTCCCCATTATGAGAGAATCCTACTCTTTGGGGGTCGATTTCAGAGTTCCCGCTCTTTTCGTACACCCCCATCTGGAGCCAGGAAAACATGGTGAAGACCCAGCCGTGGACTCGGAATGATGTGCAACCAGCCCCCCCCCCCCCCCCCCCCATCTGTTGAACCTTCGATGCCCATGTATTCCCAGTAGACCCTGAACCCTAAGCCCTAAGACCCTATAAAGACCCTAAGCCCTAAACTCTAAACCCTAAACCCTAAGCCCTAAGCCCTAAGCCCTAAGCCCTAAACCCTAAACCCTAAACCCTCACCCTAAGCCCTGACTCTAGCAGTGCATCCCCGGATGCAGACTTCCGGACCAATCTCCAGGTTCTCATGGGAAGTCCGTCATCATGGTCCTAGGTAGTTTCGGGTTTAGGGTTTAGGGTTTACGGTTAAGGGGTTCCCAGACCCCAGGGAGGATCCCAAAAGTACATCCCGTTCCTAAGAATGACCCAATGGTAGTTTAGGGCCGAGGGTACAATTTGAGGGCTCTACTTTGATCCTCCCAAAAGTTGTGGGAAAGTATGTGACGATTGCAGATGCCACATTGCCAACCTTGAATTCGACTTTAACCGCTAGAAGTATGCCACTTCTGGGTGTATGGTCATGGGTAGTGCCTGGTTATGTCTGAGAGATTTCAATCTTCGAAGCAATGCTCACCACAAGCCTTAACACCCTGCAGCCGAGACAGAAGCAATACTAACAGTATTCCCTTCTGGCCCCTATAGAATTATGCGAGAATAGCCCCCCCCCCCCCCCTCAAAACCCTATTGAAATTATTAAGGCCCCTATAGTATGCTGGCGGTGTTCAACCCTAGCGAGCCCAAAGATTACAGGCCGAGCTGAAGCCCCAAACCCTTCACTCTGAAGCCAGGGTGCAGGCCCACTAAACCCTAAACCCTAAACCCTAAACCCGAAACCCTAAACCCGAAACCCTAAACCCTAAACCCTAAACCGCGTCCAGTGAGCGAGGAATGCCCGGGTCGCTGACCAGCAGCTCATGGAAGGTGTCAAGGCCTGGCAGGCCAGGCCCTGGTGCTCGGTTTGATTTAGGGTTTAGGGTTCAGGGTTTGGGGTTTAGGGTTTGGGGTTTGGGGTTTAGGGTTCAGGGTTTGGGGTTTAGGGTTTGGGGTTTCGGGTTTAGGGTTTCGGGTTTAGGGTTTCGGGTTTGGGGTTTGGGGTTTAGGGTTTCGGGTTTGGGGGTTATGGTTTAGGGTTTAGGATTTGGGGGTCTTTCTTAAGGTTTTTGGGCTGTAGCTACCATTGTCATCATTAGGGTTCTCGCTGCTATTTGTAGCTTAGGCAAAGCGTGAGTCAAAACTCCTTACACTGGCTATGCAGTGTCTGTCACCAGTAGTTACGACATTGCATGGCACGTACACCACGCCTGACCACGGCCTTGCAGCTGGCTTGGGATGTAGCGGAGGCAAGCACAGTCACGGCTAGACCAAACCGTTACGTTTGTTGTGACTGCTGTTCGTACTACGTGAGGATTACATTTTTTTACGAGTACTATCCCCCAAAAAGTGGAGCGAGTCTCCCCCATGCCTCCACGCATAGAGTGCCAGGAGTGGCTAGACAAAGACGAGGACACAGGCACGGACGAGATCTGCAACTTGCTGGGCGTCAGGCCCTAAAGCCTGTTTAGTTGCGGTTTGGGGTTTTAGGGTTTTCGAAATTGAGGTTTTGGGGTTTTAGGGTGTTAGGGTTTCAGGGTTTTAGGGAGTTAGGGAGTTAGGGTGTTAGGGCGTTAGGGTGTTAGGGTGTTGACGTGTTCGGGTGTTAGAGTGTTGGGGTTTAATTAGGGCTCTTCCAGGATTCCCAAAGCCCCTGGGTCTAAGTGTCCAACCACCTGAGATCTCTTGGTAGCCCAGCAGTACCCTTTACCCTTGTTTTTGGTTCAAGGTTCCCTTATAACGTAACCAACCCCAAAAAAGGGCGCCCTCATCACAAGATGGCTACTGGGCTACTCAGGTCTTGATGGCAAGGATGCCGGGCGCCTCCCTGTCCAGGGCAAGCCGCATTGCCATCCAGGCAGCAAGTCTTTCTAAATTGCATGGTGTAGTTTCTCACAAATGATACATGATAACCTCGCAAACTGCAATCTCGCAAGAATGCAAGAAGAGTAAGACAAAACATCTGTAGAGCTGTGCTGCATGGGTTATTTCGGGGTAGCTGCCCCTTGCATCTTTGACAAGTGCACACCTGTTGGCTTGGGTCATGAGATAAAGGCTCGTACCCCTAAGAACGTACCCCTAAGAGGTTCCCTTAATTTACTCCGAATCGGGCCCTTATATAACCCTAAACCCTAAACCCTAGACCCTAGACCCTAACCCTAAACCCTAAACCCTAAACCCTAAACCCTAAACCCTAAACCCTAAACCCTAAACCCTAAACCCTGCACAGAGGGCCCAAACCCAAGGGTGAAACCTTAGGGGTCCGAGGTAGAGTCCCATGATGGGGCTCGTCTCAGGCTTCTTGAAGAAGGATTGAGTTGGTGGTTTAGGGTTTAGGGTTTAGGGTTTAGGGTTTAGGGTTTAGGGTTTAGGGTTTAGGGTTTAGGGTTTAGGGTTTGAGTTGGGGCCAGCTGGGGGTAGCAGATTCAGTGACCTTTCTCTGAACGGCTCCATCTAGCTCTCGCGTTGCGGCATCCGCGCGGCAATCACAGGTGCCCCGAAACAACAGTATTCAGAACATTTCGAAAACTCAAGCCGCAGTGAGACAGAAGTGTCCGCCTTGTGCCGCAAGAGCTCGGCCTTCTAGATTCTAAACCCTAGGAACTCCACATCTCGAACCTTTACAGCTCCAAATCCCAAACGACTGCCTTAACCGTGAGCCTTGAACCCTTGGCCCAATACCGTACACTTCTTAACAGGCCCTAAACCCTAAACCCAAAACCCTAAACCCTAAACCCTAAACCCTAAACCCTACACCCAAACTTTAAACCATGCCCGCCAAAGCTTAGACCCTTAAGCCGAAGCTCTCTACCCTAAGCCCTTTACAGCCCCTTCACCCTAAACCCAAAACCCTAAACCCTAAACCCCTAAACCCGAAACCCTAAACCCCTAACCCCCTAAACCCCTAAACCCTAAACCCTAAACCCCTGTAAAAAGTCCCAAACAGGCAGCCGCCCGACGCATGTCGGCCACCAGAAGCGCCGTGGCCCATGCCTTGGAGCGGCAGAGTGCGCGGAACCCAGCGTGCCTGCGGCTGATTGGGGTTTGTTTGGGTTTATTAGGTTTAGGGTTTGTTAGGGTTTAGGGTTTAGGCTTCAAGCTTTAGGCTTGAGGGTTTCGGGGTTAGGGGTTAGGAGTTAGGGTTTAGGGTAGGGTTTATTAGGGTTCATTAGAGTCAACTAGGGTTTGTCAGGGTTTGTTAGGGTTTTATCCGGGTTCATTCGGGTTCCTAAACCCTAAACCCTAAACCTCTCCAAGCCCTAGATCCAAGACAAGCAACACACCCCGAACCCTACCAAACCCTAAACCCTAATAAGCCTAAAGCCCTAATACCCCGAAAGCCCGAAGCCGTGCAAAACCATAAACCCTGAATTCTCAACCCTCAAACCGGAACACGAAACCCTAAACGCCAAACCCTAAACCCCTAAACCCCTAAACCCCTAAACCCCTAAACCCCTAAACCCCTAAACCCCTAAACCCCTAACCCCTAAACCCTAAACCCTAAACCCTAAACCCTAAACCCTAAACCCTAAACCCTAAACCCTAAACAAAACCCCACACTCTAAGGACCTGAAGCGCAAAGCTGTGGCTTGGGGTGAGAAAGCCGCGCAGCAGGAGCCGGGGAGTCCAGGTCTTCAGAAGCTATGGCTGGAGCCCTAAACCCTAAACCCTAAACCCTAAACCCTAAACCCTAAACCCTAAACCCTAAATCCTAAACCCTAAACCGCACTTTGGGTTTAGGGTTTAGGGGTGTTTGCGGTTCGAGTTTAGGTTTTGTTTGTTTTTCTTGTTGGATGTTGAGGATCTCAGGGCTGATCGGGGCTTAGGTCTGAGGGCCTCAGAGCTAAACTAGGGTTTAGGGTTTAGGCTTAGGGTTTAGTGTTTAGGGTTTAGGGTTTAGGGTTTCGGGTTTACGGTTTACGGTTTAGGGTTTAGGCTTACCACACGCTCCACACTCCTCGTCCTCCTCCACTGCAAAAAACACAAGCTGAGGAACTGGCTCCTGGAACCCTGCACCCTGAACCCAGAACCCCAAGTTTAGGGTTTTTTAGGGCTTAGGGCTTAGGGCTTAGGGTTTAGGGTTTAGGTTTTAGGGTAAGCTTTAAATTCCTTACACCCTGAATTCAAAATCCAATAACCCTAAACCCTTTAACCCCAAACCCAAAAGCCTAAACCCTACACCCTAAGTTCAAACTCCAATATCCCTAAACCTCAAACCCGAAACCCTAAACCTAAACCCTAAGCGCAGGAATGCTGATGAAGCCTCTTCTACTTAGCCAACAGTTGAACTTTAAACTTTTTTGGGTTTCCTTATTTAGCAGGAGGAATAAAGTTCAACCAATTTTTCAGAAGTAAGCAATACATCCCTAAACCTCACACCCGAAACCCTAAACCCTAAACCCTAAACCCTAAACCCTAAACCCTAAACCCTAAACCCTAAACGTCAGGGATGCTGATGAAGCCTCTGGCTGCAATGTCAAGCCAGGAGGGCACCGCACGGTCGGAGCTCGAGACGCAGAAGGCCGCGAGCCTTTCGGGCCTGGGACTTCAGGCTTGGGTTTAGGGTTTAGGGTTTAGGGTTTAGGGTTTAAGGTTTAGGGTTTAGGGTTTAGGGTTTAGGGTTTAGGGTTTAGGGTTAGGGTTTAGGGCTAGGATCTGTAGGGTTAAGGGCCGTTAAAGCATTGAGGGTGCATGTTGATGTTGTGCTGCGAGGGTTGGGGGTTAGGGTTCGGGGTTCAGGGTAGACTTCATGATATAGTTTCCAGAGTTTAGGTTTAGGCGATACCACGCGGAGATCTAACGGGACCTGACCCCGTCATGCTTTGTAGACCCTGGCAGGTAGACAGCCGACCCGGGACCTCCTAACCCTTACAACCCAAACCCTGAATATCTCTCGAACCGAGACCCTCAACCCCCAAATCCTTGACCCTAAAGCCCGTAAATGCCCTAAATCCCTAAATGCCCTAAATTTACCCCAACCACCCCAACTACCCTAGCTTCCCTGACTACCCTAAGTACCCTAGCTAACTACCCTTAGCTAAACCCTAAGCCCCTACGCCCCTAAACCCCTAAACCCCTAAACCCTAAACCCCTAATTCCCAAAAAAACCCTAAAGCGGCAAACTCCGTGCTCGGTCCCAGATGGCCTTGGACGAGGCGACGGAGAGGCTCGTTGGAGGGCTCCGGGGTCCGAAAAAGATTTTTCAGCCAGGAAGGCCTCGTACCTATTGAGGACCTACTGGGTTAAAAAGTTTAGGGTTTAGGGTTTAGAATTTACTTCAGAACCCCCCCCCAAAAAAAAAAACAAAAAGTAATCCATAGGAATTAGTGTTTTATTGTTGGGATTCTTAGGCAAGTAGCAGTTAATTACCCAGAGAGCCCAAGAAGCCTTATTTGCGGAATGGGCCCAAATTCACCTTAGCATCTCTACTAGAATGTAAGACATAGTCTTGAATTCCGGCTTTGGGTCTAGGGACATGGGGCACCTTGCAATTCATCAAGCCAAAGACACACGGTGAAGACTGCTTGGGGTTCAGGGATGCAGAGGTTTGATGGCTTATCAGTACCTTGTCGTCTATGCTGAGGTGCCTGATGGTCTATGCTCCTACAGGGTCTAGGGTTGTGTTCATGGATTTCGGGTATCACCCTAAACCCTAAACCCTAAACCCTAAACCCTAAACCCTAAACCCCTAATTGCACCCTACACCCTAAACCCTACGGACTTCCTGCTCTGTGGCTGGTTTTGTCCTTTTGCTTGCCGAAAGCCAGGGCCGACAAAGCTGAGGAGGACAACCGTTAGGGGACTGATATGGGGGGTTTACGGCAAAAAGGTACCCCCTAATTGTTAGGGTTTAGGGTTTAGGGTTTAGGGTTTAGGGTTTAGGGTTTAGGGTTTAGGGTTTAGGGTTTAGGGTTTAGGGTTTAGGGTTATCGAACCGTAATATAGACCCCCAAATAGTAGGATCTCCTTATAATCAGGACCTTCATAAGGTACCCCTTATATTGTAAAGACCCCATATAGGAGTCAGGACTGAAACAGTTTAGGGTTTATGGTTCGGGCTTCAGGGTTTCAGGGAGTAAGCGACTGATAGGGTATTAAGGCGTAAGGGTTTACGGGACTATGGTGTTAAGGCAGAACTCTCCCAACCTTGCCACTACGCCGCATGGCTCTCTATGAATCTGGGGGCATTGGTGTCAGTTGTAGCGACACCTACGTCCCGGAGCACCTATATCCACAGAACCCTACCCTATGGCTCCAAGTAGCCCCTAAGGTACTATTTATAGACTTTGGACCCCAATGTAGGTATTATTTGTATACTTGGAGCCCTGGGGCTAAATCGCAGGGTTTTCCCATCGCTTTCGGATCACAGCGCGCGCTCGCGCAGAGCCAGTCAACCCTCATGCCGGGGTCTCCAACAATATGGTTTTTACTAGGGCTTAGGGTTTAGGGATTAGGGTTTAGGGTTTTAGGGTTTTAGGGTCCTCTACTTGAGGACACACATGTGGACCAGAGTTCCTGGGCGCAGGAGTGTGATGATCTGACGCAGCAGGTCGATAGCCAGGAGGCCGCCAGCAGTACACTGCAACTTGCAGAAGCTAGCTACACCCCCAGAATCGTGTTAAGGCTTTTGTGGTCATGCGAACTTTTTTGTGAGTTGTTGAATGTATATTAATATGCTGCCTAAAGTTAACTTCTGAACTGAGCAGACATACAGTAGCTCAAAGTTGAAGCCCTCAACCATGCGACCCTCAAAGCTCAACGATCTGAAGCTGATCAGAGCTGAGGCAGGCAGTTAAAATCTCAAGGCTGGTTAGGGTTTAGGGTTTAGGGTTTGGGGTTTGGGGTTTGGGGTTTGGGGTTTGGGGTTTGGGGTTTGGGGTTAGGGGTTTAGGGCTTAGTGTTAGTTTAGTGTTTAGGGTTTAGGGTTTAGGGATTAGGGTTCGGAGGTTAACCCAAACGCTAAGATTTCCTAAGGCATCAGGCTTCCTGCGCTTCAGGCATCAGGCTGTTGGGGCTTCCAACCTGAAGAGAGAGAACCCTAAACTCTAAACCCTGAACCCTAGACCCTGAACCCTAGACCCTAGACCCTAAACCCTAAACCCTAAACCCTAAACCCTAAACCCTAAACCCTAAACCTTGAGAGAGAGAGGGGAACGCGGAGACGGAGACCATTGCCCCCCCCCCCCCCCCCGCCCCACTATTCCAGCGTACCAATTTGTGTGTTGACAGGGGGAGGGACAGTACCTTATACTTCAAGGGAAATAGGTTGCAAGGACGTCCTTGGAAGCGAGTACCCCTAAACCCTAAACCCCTGAACCCTAAACCCTAAACCTTAAACCCTAAACCACAAACCCTTCTAGTTGCACGGCCTCTTTGATCTTGCGCCTGTGGCTGTCAACCCAAGGCAATCCATCAAAATGGGTTGTTTGTTAAGGTTGTTGGTTTTCGGGGTTGTTGCTGTTTGGGCTAGGGCTTAGGATGTTAAGCCCGAGAAGCCACAAACTTGAACCCTAAAACCTAAGCACTTTGGAGGTGGCGCATAATCCGGAGTCGAAAGCTTCACGCCTCGGATATTAAATCATGAGGGTCAGGGCGTCTTTGCCCGGCAACAGACCCTTAACGCCAGACCCGACCCTAAACCCCTAAACCCTTAAACTCTAAACCCCTAAACCCTAAACCCTAAACCCTAAACCCTAAACCCTAAACCCTAAACCCTGGGTTGCGGATGGGAGTGGAGGGGTTGATGCAGGGAATCTTGTTCCGGATTGCAAGGGTACCGGGCCATGGGGTCGGGGGCCAGCTGCGGCCCGGACTTCCGCACTGCCTACAAGCAGCACCTTTACATGACTGCAGCTCTTCCTAAGGAATGGCCGGCACTCATGTCAACTAAGCAGCTTCAACCAGAGGTTTTGGGACAATGCATCAGCGAGGATGATGCAAACTTTTTCGGAGCAGTCTCGTTTCAGACGGGCCCTCACGTGAAGACTGTCGTGAGCTTCCCGGGTGTGTACAAGGAGGATTGGGAATGCTTGGTTCGACGATCCGTCAAGCGGACCGGGTTTGAGATGCATTCGGCGAAGGCCAAGAAGGTCTCTGACGATATCTCCACGCACTATGGAGCTGGCAGTACCAGCTGTGTTTTTCTGGTCACCAGGAAATTCAACGGGGCGCATGTTTTTAAATCCGATGGCTCGAACAGCTGCCGCTTGTCTGATCAACCACAATTCAAACCCTACATACCCCCAAATTGTTTTAGGGTTTAGGTTTTCGTTATGCACCATGAACCCGTGACCATCGGCTCTAGTTTTGGGCTACGAAGCTTTGCACGCAGCCTCTCGAACGCTAAGCCAAAGCCCGGTGCGCTCGTGGCCCCATAAGGGTTTGGAGTTGAGGGTTTTAAACCCTAAACCCTAAAACCCTAAAACCCTGAAACCCTGAAACCCTGAAACCCTAAATAACACCCTAAAGCCCTAAAACCCTAAAACCCTAAAAACCCTAAAGCCCCAAAACCCTAAAACCCTAAAACCCTAAAACCCTAAAGCCCTAAAACCCTAAAACCCTAAAACCCTAAAACCCCAAACCCCTAAACTCAAACCCTGAGACCCTAAACCCGAATACCCAGGCTGGTGCTTGGACCTCTATGGATCCGTCCAGCAGTTTGGGTGCAAGTGGTTTGATGAGTGGCAGCGTCGGTTGGAGGACGCCGTCGCGCGAAAGCACACGCTGGTGGCTGCTCCGCCAGCGTTTGTTGGGGGTTGAGGGTTGAGGGTTGAGGGTTTGAAGCAACTGCTTCTGTGTCGAGACCTCCAACGGCACAAGCGGTAAGAGATCTAAGCCCAAGCCGTTTATGAACCCCGCCTTTGTTTCGGGGTGTATGGTTTAGAGCTTACATTAGGGCTTCGTGTTGTGCAGAGGATTTAGAGTTCATGGTTTAGGGACCAGAGCAACGACTCATTCGATCGGAGCTGCACTGTGGCTTTTCAGCTCATGACACTCCCCCCTTCCGGCCCAAGCATCCTAATCCGTAAGCGCCAGAACCCTGCCGCAAACCCTTATAAACTTAACCCCCCCCCCCCCCAAAAAAAAAAAAAAAAAAAACGAACAAGGGGCGACGGCCCCCAAACCCCAAAAGCGCTGAACCATCACTCTGGACCCCAACCCTAAACCCTAAACCCCCTAACCCTAAACCCCCTAACCCTAAACCCCCCTAACCCTAAACCCTAAACCCTAAACCCCCTAACCCTAAACCCTAAATGCCAGGTTGTCTACAAAGCCTTCGCGAAGCGCCAGGGCCTTTGTGGCCTGAGCTGGCCTCCCAAGGTGGCATACAGCGACGCGCGACGCCGAGACCCAGGCCATGCAGGTTTTTTTTTTAGCAACACTACATTACGATTATTCTTATCATTATTTCTTGTTATAACTATTATTATTATTATTATTATCATTGGCATGCGTTTAGTACTTTTATTAGTAGTACACTTATTATTATGGTTATTATTATTATTGTTGTTGTTGTTGTTATGATTATTGTAATTATTGTTACTGTTATTGTTACTGTTACTGTTATTGTTATTGTTATTGTTATTGTTATTGTTAGTGTTATTGTTATTGTTATTGTTAGTGTTATTGGTAGTATTATTTGTAGGAAATGTGTTGTTTTTTTTTTTTCCCGGGGGGGGCTTCGTCATCACGCCCTGCTCCAAGCACTTGTAAACTCTAATCACACCTCGAACGCTAGATTCCTAACCCGCCGCAAACCCTGATAGGGAATTCGGTTTCAGGGTTGTGGAGGGTTTAAACCCTAAACCCTAAACTAATAGGGTTTAGGGTTTAGGGTTTAGGGTTTATAAACCCTAAGCCACCTCCAAACCTGAACCCCGCGCCTCCCGCATGCCCAGAAGGTCTGGGGATTTCGCAGCGTGGGGAAGTTGCTTACCTCTGGCACAGGGGCCTTCCCTTCCAGGAGCTCCTGGGTCGGCAGCAGGTCCTACCGAAACCTTCCCTAGCTTGAAACCTGGGACCCTAAACCCTCAACCCTAAACCCTAAACCCCTAAACCCATCGACTCTGAGAAGCTCCCTGAAGGAGGAGGACGTCAATGAATGGAGGTCCCGCCTGGTCGAAGACCTCGAAGACGAGATGTCGGCGCTTGAAGGGTCCTAGGGATTCTAGGGTCCAGGGTTTAGGGTTTAGGGTTTAGGGTTTAGGGTTTAGGGTTTAGGGTTTAAGGTTAGGGTTTAGGGTGTAGGGCTTAGGGTTTAGGGTTTAGGGTTTAGGGTTTAGGGTTTAGGGTTTAGGGTTTAGGGTTCAGATTTCGGGGTTTGGCAGCTGAGGGTGCAGGATCCAGGGCTCGAAGTTTCTGGGGTCTGCGGCCCGGGGGTTTATTTAGGGTTTAGGGTTTAGGGTTTAGGGTTTAGGGTTTAGGGTTTAGGGTTATAGGGTTTAGGGTTTAGGGTTTAGGGTTTAGAGTGTAGGGTTTAGGGGTAGGTAGCCCAGTGGTGCCTTTTTTGGTTTTTGGTTCAAGGATCCCTGCAAAAGTAGCCAACCAACCAAAAAGGGTGCCCTTATTGCAGTAAGGTTGCTGGGCTATCCTGGGAGGTTGCTTTTAGGGTTCTTAAGGGAGGGTGGTTCTTGGGGGGTTAGTACCTAGGTAGCCTTAGGGAAGCTTAGGGAGCCTTGGGGAGTAGTAGGGAGTATTTGGGGGACCTTGGGTTAGATACCCCTTGAACCCCCCTCCCTTAAGAACCCTATGAGTGCTGGGCTCCCCAAGGGAGGAAGGTGAAGGGTTTCGGGTATCGCGCTTCGAAGGGTTGAGGCTAGGGTCTTGGGGTTTTCAAGGAGCCCTAAGCCCTAAGACCCTAAACCCTAAACCCTAAACCCTAAACCCTAAACCCGCAGTTTGGGGTTCCACCCCTAAAGGCGCTTCAAAATGTGCAGCCCGACGATCTGGGATTGTCCAGTATGTGCAAGGAGGAGCCCTTTGCAGGTTTCAGGCCTGCAGGGTTTAAGGCTTTAGGGTTTAAGGCTTTAGGGTTTAGGGTTTAGGGTTTAGGGTTAAGGTTTTAGGCTTCAGGGTTTAGGGTTTAGGGTTTACGCTCTATGGTTTAAGAGTTTAGGGTTTAGGGATTGAGGCTTTCGGTTTTAGGGTTTAGGGTTTAGGCTCTATGGTCTAAGAGTTTAGGGTCTAGGGTTTAAGGCTTTAGGGTTTAGGGTTTAGGTTCTATGGTTTAAGAGTTTAGGGTTTAGGGTTTAAGGCTTTAGGGTTTAGGGTGTAGGCTCTATGGTTTAAGAGTTTAGGGTTTAGGGATGTTCGGGGTTTTAGGGGTTTGAGGCTTTCAGGGTTTAAGGGGTTAAGGTTTCGGGTCCCGCACAAGGACAGAGTCCCTAAAAGTTGAGGGCTGGCATGGTCTAGGATCTAGGGTCTAGGGTCTAGGGTCTAGGGTTTAGGGTTTAGGGTTTAGGGTTTAGGGTTTGGGGATTAGAGTTTAGGGTTTAGGGCCTGGGTTCCAACAAATCAACATACGGCAGGGGTTTGAGCATTGTGTTGCTTCAAACCCTAAACCCTAAGCCGTCAAGCCTACTCCTAAACCCTAAACCCTACTTCAGGGACAAGGCTTTCAAAGCTTAGGGTGAAGGGCTTTTTTGTGACAGGGCTTTGCAGTTTAGGGTTTGGGGCTCAGGGCTTTTCGGGAGGGGGGGGGGGGGGTGGCCTTTCAACAGCCTCACAGGCGCTGAACGTTGTAGGGCCTGGGTCCCGCAGGGTGTCGGGATCAGGAGCTCCTGCGGCGGCTGACAGAGGAGGCGGATGCATGTCGACAACGAACGGCAGACACTCCGGTAGCGTCCTTCGAAACCGCTCAAGTGATGGTCGCTCGACCCTGTTACTATATGGATCGGAATAATTACTAGTAGTACTCCCTTGTGGTCCCTATATAAGTATAGTATAGTATACGGAACCCCAAAACCCCTCGTCTAATTCTTAAGGCCCTTAAATTAGGTTTTTTGGGTTTAGGTGTGTAGGACGTTAAGTCGTGCCGGCTACGGCTCAGGAACGCAGGAAGAAATGCCAGGAGCCCCCCCCCCCCCCCCCCCAAGCGAGCAGTGATTGAGCCACAAGACAGACATTTAGGGTTTAGGGTTTAGGGTTTAGGGTTTAGGGTTTAGGGTTTAGGGTTTAGGGTTTAGGGTTTAGGGTTTAGGGTTTAGGGTTTAGGGTTTAGTTTAGGGTTTGGGACCCAGGTCCATGTGCACAACGTGGCTGGTGAGGAGCTCCTGTCGGAGCGGATGACCACACCACTGCTTGTTCAAGATGTACTTGTGACTGGGAATGTCCGATTGAGAAAAGATCTTTTTAGTTGATGGTTGCATCGTAAATGCGGCGATGCTCAGTGAGAAGCCACACCGCCAAGTTGTTGCTCACGCCACTGTTAGCAGCCGTAGGGAGAAAACTAGTTGCAACATTTTTCGGAATCTTTCGGTCAGGACTGCTCTGATTGTTGGGGTGGGGGGGAGGGGGTTTGGTTGCGGACCTTGCCGATTCATCCACAGCGGTTGCTTTTGGGTTATAAGCGACGCGTTTCCTTTGGCCTCCTCGCCATGCCAGCAAACGACACGAAGCGCTGCAGTCTCTGCGGCAAAGTTGCCACGTGGGGCAGAAGTCGTGCTTTTGTGACCTGGCACTTTCGCCGGATCAACTATGCGGTCACGCAAGTACGAAGGCGTGCTAACTTTGATGTGCAGCGGCTTCAATAAACGGCCTTCAAAGGGCTCTGGTGACAGGCGCTGTTGGTGGCATAGAGCTAGAGTCGAAGGCGTGTTAACTTAGTACAAGAGGCCTTTAAACCCAAAGAGTCCTAAGTACCTATGTGGTGGACACTTACCCAAACCATAGTAGTAATTCCTATTATAGAAACCCTGCTTTCTACTATGTAGGTACTTAGGACCCTTTGGGAAAGGGCCCTGGTGTGCAGCCAAAGCTGGATTGCCTATTCCCATGCATCGCTATCCCGAACTTCTAAAGGAGCTTGGTGCAGAGTACGAAGGCATTCATCTTGCCGTGCTTCGCAACCGCAAAGCTTGCAGCGACCTCAGAGGAGAAATAGCTTCTTTCCGTATGGCTTTGCTGCGAACCCTGGAAAATAAGCATGCGCAAGAAGGGGTTTGCAAGCAACTAGAAAAGACGGCTCAAAATCAAACATTTTGCGCTGAGAACGCTGGCGTGGGTTAAAGCACCATTTCCTATAGCAAGCCGTCCACGGCCGCAACAGCAGCGTGACCTAGTTGTCTCTTGTATCGCTGCTGCCGACCGTGACAACTAAACCCTAAACCCTAAACCCAAAACCCTAAACCCTGAACCCTAAACCCTAAACCCTAAACAGCCAAGGAAAAGCTGGGCTCCGAAGATCGCTCCTCCCTGCGCAGGAAGTTGTGCTTGGATGGCGTAGCCTTGACGGGTGAGATCCCTACACCCTTCACGGATGTGAGCCATGTGCATGATGCTAGGATGCCCAGTAGTGCCCTTATTCCCTTTTTGGGAGTTTAGGTTCCCCTTATAAACTTGTTCAAGCAAAAAAGGGCACTCTTTTGAATCCTAGGTTACTGGGCAACCTAGGATGTGAATCTCTTGCTCGTCATTACCCCGCAGATCGACCTCATGGCCACCCTCGCAGAAGTTCTTCCGCAGGAAGTGTGGGATGACCTTGCGAGTTTCGGCGCCTTCGAAGATCCAGGAACAGGTGGTCAAGGAGGCTGTCTCCACCTAGAGATGAGCAGCACAAACCAAGGCGAAAGTGCTGAGGGTGACATCTATTGCACTGTCCACAACTACGACTTGCTGTTAGCATCGGACGGCGGGTTTCGTGGATACAAGATCAGAACGGAAGACGAAGACGAGTGCTTATCATCGGGTGGCTTTCGCAAGCATTACACCGCAGACGAGCTGAGTGCTGAAGGCATCCTGGTACCGACTGAATCGCCACAGGTGCTCAGGCTGAGTTGGACGAGTGTCTCCGAGCGCAAAGCATATGCCCATGATGGAGCAGATATTCACCAGGAAAGTTGGCAAGACTGCTCACATGATGAGGCTCGAGGGGTCTTTCCGCCTAACGCTGGGCATGCCGCAGTCGGTGGGTCCAAGGACGCCTCCGTTTCTGTTAACTTGCTGACACTGTGCCAGTGCTGGAGGTCT